GAAAAAGGCTTCCTAAGTGTGAACATTGTGGCAAACTAGGTCACAAGATTGATCAGTGTTATGCATTACATGAGTGTGAACATTATGGCAAACTAGGTCACAAGATTGACAAGTGTTATGCATTACATGGTCGTCCTACTCGATCTACTGCAGTTGCTCAGACTGATCTTTCCCCACCTTTATCTGCTAAGGATCCTCCTTCTTCTATTTCATCAGACACACCTGCTATGTTCAACAAATTTCTCAAATGGTATAAGGATCAATAGTCTTCTAGTTCCACTGTGTCTGTCGCACACACAGGTACATCTTTTGCTGGTCTGACCCAATCTTCTTCTGGTCCTTGGGTTTTTGATTCAGGAGCCACTGATCATATTACTGGTAACAAATCTTTGTTCTCCTCTTTATCCTCTCCTGATCCTTTACCTTTTGTTACACTAGCTGATGGCTCTAAAGTATTATCTCATGGTGTTGGAACTGTTAAATTTTTCTCTTTTTTAACCATTGATAATGTTATTTATGTCCCTGGGTCTCCTTTTAACCTGTTATCCATCAGTCGTCTAACTCATTCTCTTGATTGTGTTGTTTCTTTTACCAACATTTTTGTGTGTTTACAGGACCGGAGTTCGAAACAGGTGATTGACACAGGATGTGAATCTCATGGTCTTTATCATCTTCGTCCCTTTACACATGTTGGTGCAGTTATAGAGTCTCCCTCTCTTCTCCATGCTCAGTTAGGTCATCCAAGTCTTGCCAAGTTACAACAACTTGTCCCTGCCTTATCTAAATTGTCCTCTCCTAATCCTTTACCTTTTGTTACACTAGCTGATGGCTCTAAAGTATTATCTCATGGTGTTGGAACTGTTAAACTTTTCTCTTCTTTAACCATTGATAATGTTCTTTATGTCCCTGGGTCTCCTTTTAACCTGTTATCCATCAGTCGTCTAACTCATTCTCTTGATTGTGTTGTTTCTTTTACCAACAATTCTGTGTGTTTACAGGACCGGAGTTTGAAACAGGTGATTGACACAGGATGTGAGTCTCATGGTATTTATCATCTTTGTCCCTTTACACATGTTGGTGCAGTTATAGAGTCTCCCTCTCTTCTCCATGCTCAGTTAGGTCATCCAAGTCTTGCCAAGTTACAACAACTTGTCCCTGCCTTATCTAAATTGTCTAGTTTGGCATGTGAGTCGTGTCAATTAGGCAAACATAGTCGTACTTCCTTTCCTCGTAGTGTCACACGTGGTGCTTCGTCCCCTTTTGCCGTGGTTCACTCTGACATTTGGGGACCTAGCCGCTTTAAGTCTACTTTAGGTTTTCAATACTTTGTTACTTTCATTGATGATTATTCCAGATGCACTTGGTTATTTTTGATGAAAAATCGTTCTGAATTATTTCATATCTTTCAAACTTTTTTCAATGAAATTCAAACTCAGTTCGGTGTTTCTATTAGAGTTTTGCGCAGTGATAATGGTCGTGAATATCTTTCTCATTCTTTTAAACAATTCATGGCTTCTCATGGTATTTTGCATCAAACTTCTTGTGCTTATACACCTCAACAAAATGGTATAGTTGAACGTAAAAATAGACATCTTATTGAAACAACTCGCACTCTTTTAATTCATGGAGAGGTTCCTCAGCATTTTTGGGGTGATGCTCTTCTTACTGCATGTTATCTTGTTAATCGCATGCCATCTTCGATTCTAGATAATAAATTACCTCATTCCATTTTATTCCCTCATGAACCACTTCATCCCTTACCTCTAAAAGTTTTCGGGTCTACATGTTTTGTTCATAATTTTAGTTCTAGTCTTGACAAGCTTTCTCCTAGATCACATAAATGTGTTTTCTTAGGGTTTACAAGATCACAAAAAGGATACAAATGTTTTTCTCCTTCTCTTAACCGTTATTTTGTGTCTGCAGATATCACCTTTAATGAGTTCTCTTTTTATTTTAAAAGTCAATCTTCACCTCTGTCTCCATTCAATCTTGTCAACACTCCTAGTACATTTAATGTTCCTGTTGTTTGTGACCCTCTAACTGTGTCTTCTTCACCATTAGATTCTACTCCGCAATCAGCTTCTTTTTCACTGCCTCTTCAGGTTTATAGTTGCCGAAACCAATCACAACCACCACCATGTGACTCTACTCAAGTGCCAACTACTCTGTCTCCTCTGGATGTGACACCTGAGTCTGACCTTCCCATTGCCCTCCGAAAATGTATCCATTCTACACGTAATCCCTCTCCTCATTATATTGGTTTGAGTTATCATCGACTGTCATTACCTTTTTATACATGTCTTTCCTCTCTTTCTTCTGTGACCATTCCAAAAACTGTCCGTGAAGCTTTAGCCCATCCTGGTTGGCGTCAGGCCATGTTAGATGAACAAAGTGCTCTTCATAATAGTGGAACTTGGGAATTGGTCTCGTTATCGTCTGGGAAATCTGTTGTTGGTTGCAGGTGAGTGTTTGCTATCAAAGTTGGACCTGATGGTACTATTGATCGCCTCAAAGCTCGTCTTGTGGCCAAAGGTTATACTCAAATTTTTTGGTTGGATTATGGAGATACCTTTTTCCCTGTGGTAAAGATGACTTCTGTTCGTTTATTTATCGCCATGGCCGCTCTTCAATAATGACCTCTTTATCAACTAGATGTTAAAAATGCTTTCCTCAATGGTGATTTGCAAGAAGAAATCTATATGGAGCAACCTCCTGGGTTTATTGCTCAGGAGGAGTCTTCTGGGATGGTATGTCGTCTTCGCAAATCCCTATATGGCCTAAAACAGTCTCCTAGGGCCTGGTTTGGAAAGTTTAGCAAGGTTGTTCAATAATTTGGTATGACTTGGTGTGAAGCAGATCACTCTGTCTTTTATCGATACTCAAGTGCTGGATGTGTTTACTTGATAGTATATGTTGATGACATCGTTCTTACAAGTAGTGACAACCATGACATCTCTCAGTTGAAACAACATCTCTGTCACCATTTTCAGACCAAAGATCTTTGCAAACTTAGATATTTCTTGGGTATTGAGGTGGCACAGTCCAATGATGGTATTGTTATATCTCAGAGGAAGTATGCCATGGATATTTTAGAGGAAACTGGGTTGATGAATTCAAAGTCTGTTGATACGCCCATGGATCCCAATACTAAACTTTTACCAAATCAAGGGGAGCTTATACCTGATCCTGAGCAGTATAGAAGATTGGTTGGAAAATTGAATTATCTTACAGTTACTCGTCCTGACATTTCCTTTGCAGCCAGTGTGGTAAGGCAATTTCTTAATTCCCCATGTGAAGATCATTGGAATGCAGTCATTCATATCTTAAAGTATATTAAAGGATCTCCTGGAAAAGGATTGTTATATGATTCTAATAACCATACAAGAGTTATTTGCTACTTAGATGCTGATTGGGCAGGATCTCCTTCGGATAGAAGATTTACATCTAGATATTGTGTCTCCATTGGTGGTAACTTGGTCTCATGGAAAAGTAAGAAACAAAGTGTTGTGGCAAGATCTAGTGCAGAAGCAAAATATAGAGCTATGGCATCAGCTGCTTGTGAACTTGTTTGGCTCAAGCAATTGCTTAGAGAGTTACAATTTGGAGATGTCACTCAAATGTCACTTGTGTGTGACAATCAGACTGTTCTTCATATTAGTTCTAATCCTGTCTTTCATGAGAGGACCAAACACATTGAGATTGACTGTCATTTCATTCGAGAAAAGATTATGTCTGGAGACATCAAGACTGAGTTTGTTAACTCAAGTGATCAGTTAGCAAATATTTTTACTAAATCTTTACGAGGTCCTAGAATTGATTATATTTGTAACAAGCTTGACACATACGATTTGTATGCTCCAGCTTGAGGGGGAGTGTTAGATATTGTTTAGATATTATTTAATATTGTTAAGATATTGTTAGATATTAACCATAATATCAAACAATATCTTCTGTTTATTCTGTTACTTTCAGTTACTCTTTTAGTTGTATCTCTCTACTATAAATAGACTACTCTACGTGTGATTTATACACAAGGGAGATTAATCTCAAACTCTATTTCTTCTATATTCAACACCTATAAAATAAGATAAAACACTAGAAAGTTACAAATGATAGGTTTGAAAGAAAATAAGTTGCAATTTTTAGGAGAGAGATATCTTATCCCATACGACTTTGTCTATGAAAGAGATAACTTAAAACAGTAAGTATCATCTAAAAGTAACTCTGTATTGTCACATAACAAGAGTACTTGCAATCTTCTCCTAGATAAAGAGAACTGTAACTCCACCATACTTAATGAGATAATAAGACTGAAATTTCCTCGTATCAAAAGACAGATGTTATAATCCAACTTTCAGTAGTAGATATATTTTACTGAACTAGATTCCTTAATTAGAAAAAAATTAATGTTAAAACTTGTTAATGTCATTTTTCTACTTGTTTCACTTATATTTAGTGTCTGTTTTAACATAATAGTTTGGCTATTTCCCATGACCATCAAATAATAATATATGTCCAATTCATATTGAAGGCTACCCAACATGTTATCCATGTAATAAAACCTTTTTGATCTAACAGTTCACTTGACGTGTACATGAAACTCTACTTATTCAGTTAGAGCATACCCATGCAGGACAAAACCCAAAAGATCCACAGCATTAACCACAGCAATTTGCAAATAGATTATACAAAGTAACATCACAACAAGAGGGGGCATGTAATGAAAGAGTACATTCTGCATGACTCACTTCTAAGCTTGAAACTTGAAACCACGAGCATACATAGTTTGGTGAGATACATGCCATGTAACAGAGGTACGGTGATTTTAGAGCAAGGACATAAACTACCATAGTAGACTAGAAGTTATTGCTACCCTCATGCCATGCTACGAAGACATAAATACAGAGACTAACTATTATTAAAAGATCCAGACACATTGTTGGAATGTCTATGAAGTTGGTATTTTGTCCAAGCATCACAATGCTAATGACTCTCTAGACTTAAGCATGACTAGAGTCATGTGGTTGTGAAGGATGCTCCTGTGACTCCTCAGCCACTTGAACCTTGCTGCAAACGGCTCTCGCTGCATCTTCTACCATTCTGACCAAGTTGGTCATTATCTTGGCTTTGATTTGCCCTCTTCTTGGAGGAACTCTAACCATCTTAGCAGTTGGCGAATCAACATTTTCATTGGTTTTTGGCATTGATTCAAGTGAATGAGTTTTGACGATCGGAAAGAGATAGTTTAAGCCAGAGACAAGCGGAGAAAAAACAGCAAGATTCTGAGTGTTTGCGTGAGAAGGGTGGTGCATATTTATATTGTTAGAGTTGAGACATAAATACTTTTTCTTGTACTCTTTGTCCCCCAATAAATGTGTGTAAAGAACTTTTATGTTAGTGCTGATTGATCGCACACGAAAGTTTATCGTCATTTAAGTGATAAACAGGATTTCTGCCATAAGATAAAGTGATTAGTGGATTATTATTGTCTTCAAATGCAGAGTGAAAAGTCAATATGATAGGAGGCATGATGGTAAACAACACCAAATCCTAGGATACTTGCAGCCTAACAGATGCATTAAAATAATAAATTAGTAGAAGAATGACAACATTTTAACCGTACCATTGTGTACAACTTGTTGACTTACAAAGTCTAGAAAGACGGTACTCCTAAAAGATAAGGATCTATAATACAATTCTTCAGGTGATATAATTTATCTCACACTCTAATTGAGACTTCCAATTAATTCATCTTAATGTGATACGAACAAACGTACAATAGTTTCTTACTATAATGTGCTGAAAAATAGGCAGAAGATAACACCAGTGACAATATGAAAAACACTTGGGCTGTCGGATCACACTGTAGACCAAGTCAAGTCCTTTTGCTTTAATGACCAGACAAGCTTGAACGAAAAAGACTCTTAACCAATGTATTGATTTGGACCATTGTTGGTGTCTACCACGATACAGACCTAATTATGTGGCCTTATTCTGAAGAGCAGACAAGCCTTAGTGTATTCTTTTGGGGAAGAGGACACAGAAATGTGGAACATTAAAGACAACGAAAGCCATAAAACATCTGGGTTCACAGGTTTGAGCACGAAACACAGTTAAGTAACACAAAGATCAGTTAGAACTTAAAACTCTGCTACACAATTGATTGGATTTTCACCGGAGTCAGAATTTCATTCTAGTTTGTACCCTTCGTACTTGCAAGACTATTAGCTAAAACAATACGTGCCAGTTCGTCATCAAAATAGAGAATGGAAAGAAAGTGGTGACCTTTATCAGTATATTTATAAAATGGATCACGAATCAATTATAGATGGAATATGAAGACATCAAGTTTGTGGGTCTCTTATTTGTTAATCAACTTCCTCATTTCTTGGTAAGACCAATTTCAACTCAATTTTGAACTCTCTGAAATGATGTAAATTACCACAATGCATAGAACCATGTCCAGTAGGATAACATTTTTCATTCATGTCATGGCTTTCACCAAACAGGTTATAATTATTTGAGTTAATTTAGTACGTGAAATGCAGGATTATTGATATAGCTGTGTAACTATGCTCCAAGCTAACGCCACGTGAGGGTTAGAAACTGATATGCATGCATGAATGGTGTACAACAGAACAACTGATATGCTCCAGTTGGAGTGAAATTCATAAAAAAATAATATTTTTTTTATAATGGTTCAAAATCTTAATTAATAAACGTTAATTTCATCATAAAATATAACTTAACGACATAAAATCAGCAACTTATATTTTCAAATTTATTGTATTTTAATATTAGAATCAAAATTGAAATTGTGAAAAAATCTATAATTATATATATATATATATATTTATATTTTTTATAATTATATATAATGTTATTCCCTTTTTAACCATTTTTATCTAGAGAAAAATAAAAATATATGAACTTAACGTAAAGAAATAGTTTTTTTTATATATATACCTTTACAGTCAACCGTGTGTCCATACGACTGCAAAACCCTCTTTAGGGTGATGGTCAGGGACGCTTATGCAAGATTTAAAACTGAAACATTTTAAAGTTGGTATATTTTAAAATAAAATAAAATTTTTAAAAATATTGTAAAAAAATTAATTATAAATATGTGAACATTTCTAATTGTGTTTATTATATATAAGCAATAATTATTTTAATTTTTTTGTCAATGGAAAAATAAAATGATATTTTTTTATAATGTTTAGTGTGGATAAGGAATAAAAATACAAATATCATAATTTACAAAATAAATAATTACTATGATTTATATATTTAAAAAATAATAAACATTGAGAAAAAAATATGATATGTATCAGTAAAAAAAAATAGTACATTTAAAAGTTTAAGAGAGAATAATAATAATTTTTTTTTAAATTAATCATATAAAATAAAAATGTAAATACAAATGTTTATATTTTTATTGGTATATATAGTGAAAAATTATTTTTTTAACAATTTTGTGGTGTAATGAGAAAAAATAAATCATAATGTAAAAAAAATTATTATAATTTATATATTTAAGAAATAAAAGATATATTAGAAAAAACATAATTCCTAATTAATTGAAAAAATAAAATAAAATGAAATGTGTAGAGACGTGTGTGTTGTGATGGTAATGGTAAAAATTTTGACTCCCAACAATGTGTACCCAATAGTCGGCAGCCTACCCCAAAGGATTGAGGCACAAGTGGATAGGCATGCTTCCACGTGTCGCCACAGCGTTGGAGAGAAAAACTTGCGTAGTTGATGGGTAACAGAAAAAAATAAGAAGAGAGTGTTTGGACCACAAATAAAAAGAAAGAAAAAGAAAGGAACGTGAAATTATTGGGAGCCGCAAGATCCCTGTGGGCCCCACTCAGTGAGTTCACCATTTTCCACGCTGGCACTCTCTTTCCCTAAACTAGTGGACCGGAGCAATTCAGGAACTTCCTGGGACCCACTGCTTTTATGCTCCCCATAAATCCACCAACCTTCTCATTTAACACGAATCAAAATTCAAATATACAAATATTTAAGGATCACTTCAAATTTATAAATTAATGTGAGGTTAGATGAAAAAGATAATATATTAATATAATTATAGGTAAGGTATAATTGATTTAAAATAACCGTGAAGAAATCAGTTTAAAGGATTAATGAGATAAAATTAAATAATATTTTTTATAATATGTTAGATATAAAATAGATTTATTAAAAAAATAATTTTAAAAATTTCTTATCAGAATATTATAAATATAAAATATAATAAAAAAATTGAAAAAGTCCTTGCAATTAACTAAATGAATATGGTCAATGCAATTAAGTAGATTATCAACGTTGGTTCACCTAATTAAAATCGTAATAGGTTTCGTGGGAATGGTAGAAAATGATGGTGGTTTCATTAGAAATGTTTAATGAGAAGTGATTTTGTAGAATAGGTTTAAAAATGAAAGAAAATTTGAAGATGGACGTATGGTGTAAGAAAAGTTGTGTCCCGATGGGACCGGACAAGGGACGATGAAATGAGTTTAGTGGAAGTTGTGTTGTGTTGGGACAAGTGGTGGCTCTCAAATTCTGCACCGCACATATACCCACCCTGCGTGCCACGCCACATTTATCTCCCGTTCTCTCTCTCTCTATCTTTCTCTCTCTATCTCTAAGCGCTTCATTGTAGAGAGTGAGTCTATGCAATTTGTGGCGGAGCATGAACTCCAGCACACCCAATTCTCAGTCAATGGCGGCGGCGGCAGCAGCGAGTGATGGGTCGGGGAAGAAGGTGAGAAAGCCTTACACCATAACCAAGTCAAGGGAGAGTTGGACTGAGGAAGAGCACGACAAGTTTCTCGAAGCTCTTCAACTGTGAGTCCATTTCCTTCTTCCCCTCATAACTTCACTGCCCCTTTTATTGTTTGCATTCAATAGGATTATTTTTGAGGTTGTTGTCGTTAATCAAGTTTTTTTTTTTTTTAATTATTCACATTTCTATGTCTTTTCTATATGAGCAAACCTTAGCATTTGGCTAGAGTTTTTAATTAGTTTTGGCCTCTGGGGAAACCCCAATTGATGCTGCATGAGCTCTGAACTGGACTTTTCCAACAGAATTCCTGTGTATCTGCAAGGACTCTAAGGCTCAAATCGGGCTATATATAAATAAATAGAGCATTAAATTTAGAGAGAGTATTCTATATATGTCATTCTTGATTTGGTTATGTTTTTATTTCTAAGATGAAGTGACTTGGGAAACGCCTCTTTAGACAAATCTTAATGGAATTGCTACTTCTAACGAATCTTGGCCACTATTCCATGCTATGTGTCAGTGTGGAGGTTCTTCTAGTGCTAGAAGGTTCTAAATATATGCCTTTTGTGGCATAGTTATTGGATTTTGGTTATTGAGCCTGTGCATTGGATTAATTTGCTAAAATGAATCAAAATTCTTCAGAGAGTGATCCAGAATAAATAGATTGAAGAACTCCTATTAGAGAAAGGAAGGAATGGATTGAGAGGATGGTCAGGTTGTTAGAGCAACTGTAAAATTAAGAGCAGATGGAAAGTTTCAAGGTTCAAAACTTGGAATGAAATTAATTTAATGCTTGGATTGTATGGTATAGAAGAATTAGGAGAAGGTAGAAATAAAATGTACTCATTTTCAGTGTAAGCTGTAATTTTGGTTGAAACTGCCTTTCAGTCTGTTTGTGCTCTATTTCCAATCTTCTCAACTTTACAATTACTTTAAAACAAGTAAAGTGCTCTGCAATCCAGCCAGTGACTTCTTGTGGGATTTTCAGATTTGACAGGGATTGGAAAAAAATTGAAGATTTTGTAGGTTCAAAAACAGTCATTCAGGTTTGGAGACTGTTTTTCATCTCTAAGTTTATATTTTCTTTTTCATGTCTATATTCTTTTGGGGATCTATTTTTCACTAACGAATGACTTTTGTTAGATTCGAAGCCATGCTCAGAAATACTTCTTGAAAGTTCAAAAGAATGGGACTGTGGCACATGTGCCTCCTCCCCGTCCTAAGCGAAAAGCTGCTCATCCTTATCCACAAAAAGCATCAAAAAATGGTTTGCTCCCATTTGAGATGGTGATAGTCTCTGTTCCTAAAGGGGCGATATTTAATTCATCCTCCTGACAAGATACTTTCCGGTTTTCCAGTTTTGGTGCCACTACCAGCTTCCATTGGTTATGCTTCTTCAACAAATATGCTTGCACCTGGGTTTGCCACATGGGAGGAAACCTCCCTGCTGATGAATGCAGGAGCCAATAAATCCATGACCTGTCAGGATGAACTCAACAATCTTCGTGGAAATGAAGGCATGCATACTTCTTTTTGTTATTGCTTATTTCAAGAAGATAGTGTACATTTACTATACTAAATGGAACTGTCCACCACTTATTATGTTATATGACGTTACTGATTCAGCTGATATTGGATCAAAGGGGCTAACACAGATTACCAACAGCAGTGTTAGTGGTGTTGGAAATTCTATTAGAATGCTACCAACTTCTGATATACCAAAGCAAGGGAAACAAGCTCCCGTACTTCATGGTAATTTTCTGACATACTGTTTTTTGTTTTGCACTTGTTTTCTAATTGAATTTAGTTACGGTTGATCATTTGTCATTTTGACAATATTACTCAGGTTTGCCAGATTTTGCTGAAGTTTACAGTTTCATAGGAAGTGTATTTGATCCAGATACAAATGGCCATGTCCAGAAGCTGAAGGAAATGGATCCTATAAATTTTGAAACTGTGAGTTGAAACTTACCATCATTTAATTAGATGATATGCTACCCCCTCTCCTCTGATAGAATTAATTGCAGTGGTGAAACTTTGCTGTAGAATCAGATAGATATTGATTCACTTAAGAAACAATTTGGCATTATGACAAACAACAAAACTTACAGGATGCATGGCTTGTTTATAATAAACACTTCTACTCCCCTCACCCTTAAGCTGAATTATGAAATTTGGTTAGGCCATTTGATGAAGATTATATTTCTTTTTAATAAAAAAGAATGCTAAGGCATCACTATACAAGCTATAATCTTAACTAGGTTAGCACTAAAACTTGTATCAATGTATCCTGAAAGCATAAAATGGAAGAAGGAAGATTATAAGATGTATCTTGACAACATAAAATGATATAGCCTTTGTGTTTGAGTATTCTAGGGATGTGTGTTGATCCTTCTGGCTCAGGATAAAGTCACTAAAAAGTATTTTCCAATGGAGGAAGGAATCCTATGATAACATTTTTTACTGATTGAGTGTGTCAAAACATGAATTGAAAGGAAAAAGACATGATCATGTCAAAGTGGACAGAACTGAAATCAACGAAATCATTTTAAAATTCATCTGTTTCCATCTGTTCATTTTGAGTTTAGCAGACTGAGAACTTTGTTACTGAAATTTGTGAGTCTTGAATGTACCCTTAACATACCGAGACATGTTGAAATTTTCTCTTAAATTGAAATTTACTGTAAGAAAATATAAAACCATTCATACCTTCACCTATCAGCATTAGTTTTGTGATAGTTCGTTCATAACGTGGTACAAAACTTATATGTCTAAATGGTTTATTATTTTGCTTCTTGATAGCCTAATCTTCTAAAAATAATTGAATTTAAAAATAAGGTAGGTGATCCTATACATTGGTCGCGGTTAAGCCCAAGGAACTCTTGCATGGCGAGGTTTACTAACAATACAATATAAAACTATTCATTTATTTTTATCTGATAGTTTAAGCCTTTTGGGATAATAAATCCATGGCATTATAATGAAAGATGTGATCATTATAAACTCCCAAATTACACTAATGGCTAGAGATGCTCTGGTTACCTTTTACGATCCCTTTTTGTTGTGAAAGAACATTATATTTTTTTATCACTTTGATCTGTAGTGAAATATAAGACCGGTTGCTCTGTTCCTTTTATGTTTGAAATAGTTTGCCTCTATAAGGCTTTGAATATGGTTAGTTTACACTAGTGTGTTGAAGCAAGATAAGGTGTGTGGGTGCAATGACTTATGCTAATAAATTGTCATGGGAAACACTTACATGTGGCTGTTGATTTTACTCGGCTGGAAGGCTCTCTGGGAAAGACTTCACTTTTGCGCATATAACTGGAAATACTGTTTGACCAAATTGACATTTAACGAACATTATAATCTTGCTGCAAACCAATAATCATCATAACATACAAACTAGATATTGTTGTTTTATGTAGTTCATCACTTCTGATGTATGCATGGAATGGTATGTCTTTATGAATATGAGATTACTTATTTGAAGGTCAAAAGGCTAATCAATTTACATTTCCCTAACATTCTTCCCCTTCTGTCGGCATAAATTCAGGAACTCAAATTCCTTCATCTCCTCTCTTTGCTGCATGCATTAGACAAACCTAAATGACCTCCCCCACCTCACCAGATAAAAAAGACTCAAATACAAACTTTTATCTTTAAGTTCTTGGTCACTGACTTCTTTATATTTGGTGTTCTTATGCAGGTTTTGTTGTTAATGAGAAACCTCACTGTCAACTTGTCTAGCCCTGACTTTGAACCCATCGTAAGTTTCAATATCAACCCAATGATGGCTACATAGTTTTTTCACATATTTGCAAAATAAAGTTAATATTTTTTAAAAAAACATTTGCATTTTACCAAGTATCTTTTGGTTTGAATTGACTGATCTGCACTATTTTGCAAGCTGATTAAATCATATTTAATTACTATGGTTCGTGAAGGTGAAATGCCAAATCCATAAATAATACTTTGACTTTGTTATATGTAGGGTGTACAACCTCATCTCCTTGATGTTTTATCTGTGTGAGAATCAAACAAGAGCATGTTAACCCTGTTAGGAGTATAAATGTATAATTAAAACCAATTGTGTTTTCACTTAATAGCTTAATCAATGAGGATTATTAGTTTATGACATGGTATCTAGAGTTCAATTCTTGCCTTCCCCATTCTTCCGATACAGTAGTTCCATTTCACATAAGGTGGTAGGTGGGACAGTGCATTCTGAGGGAGGCCATGTTAGAAATTTAATATAAAACCATTCAAGTGTCTTTTCCTAACCTTGTTGATGACAAAACCATTCATGTGGGGGTGTGTTAGATGTATAATATAAAACCATTCATGTGTCTTCACCTAACCAATTGTTGGTTCATGACAATCCTTGTTTATGGTTGAATCTTAATTTTACTGGGTTGTCACAATTTTTGTCATTATTACTACAAAATTGAGTAGCTTATTAGAAGATAGGCCAAAACAGGGTCAAATTCAAAAGGGGGGGTCTGCCCATCCCTTTCACCACACATGTTCTCACTTTTTCTTTTTCTTTTTGACTAAAAGTGATAGAATGGGGAAGCACCCCAATATTACTGGGAAAGGCATCAATGGCATGCTGGAACAGCCAGCAAAGGCCTACCCAGAGGATTACTGCACAGACATAAACTGCAAACAATTTTACCTGTCACAACTACTCAACTAGCCCTAAAATGGCAGGGAATCTCGGGAGGCCTCGACATGTTCTCACTTTCTCATTACATGTAATAGGATTTCCATGTTATAGATATAGGCTCTTGTATTTATTATGATTATCCCCTTATTACTTGAAAAAATAAACTAGTTACAGACCAATAAGTTTGTAAATTTATAGGTGTTTAGTCTGCTAAAAGTATACAAATAAAATGAGGTTTTTATAAAAAATACAAACAAACTAAAAATAATACTCAAATCCTCCCTATTTAAATTATAAATTATAATAGGATCAATAATGTTTTTTTTCCTTGGTTTTGGTCTATGTACTTTAAAAGTTAATTATTATGTTTTAGGTCATCTTAAAAAGAAAAAAATATTGATAATTTATTTTCAAAAAAAAAATTTATGAGGTTGTTTTTTAAAAAATATTGAAAAATAATTTATTTGTTCAAAAATATTTGTAATAGGCCTCTCAATACTAATTTTAAGATCTGTACCTAATCCCAAATTAGCTAAAAAAAAACCCTTGCACAAGGGGCTAAATATCTTTCTTCATCAAAAGATAAAAAGATGAAGAGCTTGACCATGATTTTTTCTTTTCTTAAATGAAATGTGGACTTAACACAAAATCTGCATTTATGGGAAGTGATTGTCCCATGTCAATAACAACTAGGGGTTTGGACAAATCTAACACAGCCCAGCACTTTAGGTTTGGCTTATGAAAATATTGTTCAAGTTTGGTTCATTTATTTAAAGAGTCTTGATAAAAGCTAGAATTTGACTTGTTTAACTAGTTTAAAACCTTTTTTTTTATCAATTTGTTTTCTGAAATAACTATCATTCTAATACTAATAATGATAGTCTACATATAGAAATATGTGCTTAACATGAACATGCGTGGAATTCAAATATTCTAGATTATTACATTTCCATATAAAATATGAACTTCTTCATTGTTAAAAAAATAATAATTGTTCCGGTACACTCATGACATCGTTTAGGAGTCGAGGTTCAATGTTTTATCTAAGAATGAGAGTTTTCAATCTCATATCCGCTTTGAAGTTCTAGTCCATCATAATTTTGTTTTTAAAAGACACTTCAATGGATTAAGAGAGAAGAATGTATATAAACTACCATTTGTTTTGACTTTTAACAGATGTGAGACTTATGAGTATACCAAAATAATAATAAATATATAAATTAAAAAACTACAAAAAAAAATCATCCTCAATTTAAATAAATGAGTTATTTATAAGTAGTTATTACCAAGCATTATCTTGCCAAACATTTAACCAATTGAGCTTGAATAGATGATGAATGGATCAAATCATCTACATCTGTAGTAAAATTGGCAAGGTTAAAGTAATCTGAAAACATCAAACTTCACCTCAGATTCTTGACCCTCTGCTTACTTTTGCAATGAGCCAATGGATTGCTTCAAACTCCACCTTATAGTGATGCTTAATTATTGTCACGAAGTTGTTATAACCAATGAACTTGACTCAGAACTTCATGAGTTTCTAACTATGAAATTTGACTAGCTTTTCTCTATCCCTTTGTTCAGAAGAAGGTATTGTCAACATATGATGTCAATAGCATGGCAGTAGGAGTTGCTGCAGGAATTGATGTCAAGAAGCAGACAAATGATCTATCATGTCAAACTGCTTAACCACTAGCAATTTGTTGATATGGTACGTGACTTTCTGCTTCTGATGATTTCTGAACTTTTCTTTTTTCTTTCCATGCATGTTCTTATTGTAGCATAATCCACAGTTAGGTAGGTAAAATTTGGATGGAAGACCGAGGTTTTGCTCGGCCAGAGATAGGGCATTGGAATATCTTGCACTCGCTATAAAGCCTGTAAATGTAACCATAGTCCTTTGTAACACAGCAAAAAATAGTATATGTAGAAAGCTGAAAAGCACAACATATTTTTCAGCTGATTCTATGGTCTGTATCATTTGTTGTATTGCAGTGATTTTGTTGCCTTCAAGTAGAGACATAGGTTTATAAGATATTGTTACTGATACAAATGTATCATCAAAATTAGAAAAAACAGGGAGGGAGTAGACTATTGCATTGTATCATTATCAACGTTTTTTCTTTGTAAAGTCACACTTCACATTCTTCATTTTCGGGTTTCAGTCTTGAGTCCTGTCCTGGTTTGCCACTGGAATGGCTTTCTTCATTAGTAAGTGCGTCTCAATTTCTAAATAAAATTTACTTTTGAATGGAAATGTCAATTTAAAAGCATATAATATCAACAAGTTATTCCAACAATTTAGCAAATTAAAGATCATGTAGAGGTGACTCAGGTTTAGGTCGCGAGAGTAATGTCAAAGAAACTTATATACTAAAAACTGATTTATATACTTCTTAATACCTTGAAGTTTGTAAGTTAGTTTATCAATGACATTTATGATATTACAATTGGATTTATTTCTTTATTTGTTGTCATGAAATTCACTTGGTCAACTTCAATGTTGATTTTCAAATATTATTGTCATATTCACAACTGTATTTAACCAACCTTTTAATATTGTAACAACTAAAATGATGGAAATGCTCATGAAATTTTGCTATTAGTGAAAGTGTGTACGATTTAGAGATTAATGAGAAGAACTTGAAATTATTCAAATTTAGAAAAAGGTTTTATGAATTTAAACAAAATTTTTATAATGAAATTCATTGGAATTATTTCTATAAGTTTAATAATAACATAAACTATAACTTTCGTTTTATTTTTGTTACATTTAAATATTTTATAAAGTATTTGATACAAAACAAGGTCCTAACAATCAAATCTTATCCTTAAATAAGAACTTGATACAAAACATAAAAAACGCATTTTCATTACACTGAAAACTGCCATAGTAAAAAAAGATTGCGGTGGAGTTCTTGGAAATTCTATATCTAATATAGATATATTTTAATTATAAAACATAAATTTTATTTTATACATAAACTTTATAAAATTAAAATTTATTTAATATATGGTGCTGCGCCCACAACTTGCATAGTATTTCATAGTTAATTAAAATAATAATTTATCATAAGTAAAAAATTATTAAAAACTATAACATCATGATTTATTAGACACATCTAATATTAGGTGTGGGAATTTAAATAAAAAGTTATAATCATTAAATTTAAGTTGGTTATTCTAAGAAATGAGATATAGAAACGGATACCTTAAAATATATTCATAACAAACTACAATTTTCAAAGTCAAGTTTAAAATATTGTAACGTGCTACAATTTGATTGTAATCGATCATACGATAAGAAACCCAAATACATTCCATAACAATCAAAATAAATAGCCGAGGTTTAATGTGTGACATTTAGATAAAAAGATGACCATGGGTTTGTATAGGTCAAGGGATTCTCGCAGCTAGAAATAGGTATTTGGGTTTTGGAACACAAACATGCCACACAACTGCAACCTACTCAGTGCACAGAATTGTAAAAAAATTGTGTCCATTTATGACGAATTTTAAGGAACTGAAAATAGGTGCACTATGCAAATCAAGTTGGGTCATTTAACTAACTTCAATAGTCGTTTGAATAAAATAACTTGGGATGTACACAACCAAAATCCGAGTAGGGAAGACATATACACGAGTTCAACAGGTGGGCTTCCGGTATAAATTTCAATTCAAGTGATGCCACAGACAGGTTTTAGTAACTTTTTTTCTTATGAAAAAATATATAACCAGATAACAAAAAAACATACAAATTACTAAGTAGCATAATAACATAATTGCCAATGGTAAATAAAAAGACAACCAGCGTTTGCACCAAAATCCATCAAACAAAATTTCGACCTTGTCTGCATAATTATAATAACCTTAACCCGCAAAACAAAAAAAACAAAAGTATTTAGTTCAATTAAGCATACAAAACAAAAATCTAATGCCAAAATATAAATCATAAAGTTCACTGTGAAACACCCAACCACTTAGAAAAGTTGTCGAATTCTGTATAATCAGAATCTGACACCATTGTGTGATACCATGCCTTTCCTGCAGCCTTAATCTTAGAAGCTTCATCCTGAAAGAAAGGAGGCAATAACGTCGGTTTAAAACAAAGATCAAAATATAGACTATTAATAATAGAAACGCTAGTAACATACACCAGAGTCAAATTCAATTGAGGCAAACTGAATGCAATTCCCACAAACGAAAGACCATGAAAAATGGCAAGAAAATGTGCATTAAAATGATATCGAGGTAGTGTGTTTCGATCACACCATAAAATTAAACATTGAAAATGTAATACAAAGAGTTGCATAAACCAAAAGCTTTTTTAGTAATTTGGATAGGGGCTAAATACGTGTATTTGT